CAACACAATGGGCTTTTTTGTTCTTATTTTATAATTAAGAAACTGAAGCTCAGAGAGATTGAGTAGCTAGCCCAAGATCACACAGCTCACCAGAGAAGGAGCTGAGATTGGAACGCAGAATGGTCTCCTAGCTTCCCTGTTAGACGCAAATTCCTGCTAGTTTTGAGAATTCTGTGTGATGCACCCGAGGTGGAGGGTCGGCTCAGGCCCGGTTTCCAGGTTCCTCGTGGTCAGGCAGGTCTCCTCACCTCCCCGCAGGGCTACCAGATCCCCAAGGGCTGGAGCGTGATGTATAGCATCCGGGACACGCACGAGATGGCCGCGGTGTACCGCAGCCCGCCGGAGGGCTTTGATCCCGAGCGCTTCGGCGCCTCGGGTGAGGACGCGCGGGGCGCCTCCGGCCGCTTCCATTACATCCCGTTCGGCGGCGGTGCGCGCCGCTGTCTCGGCCAGGAGCTGGCGCAGGCGGTGCTCCAGCTGCTCGCAGTGGAGCTGGTGCGCACGGCGCGCTGGGAACTGGCCACGCCTGCCTTCCCCGCCATGCAGACCGTGCCCATCGTGCACCCTGTGGACGGGCTGCGGCTCTTTTTCTACCCGCTCGTGCCTTCGGCAGCGCGAGATGGGCCACGCCTTTGACCCGCGGCTGCGGGACATGACTTCGTCAGCGGCATTGTCTCAGTCGCGGCGCCGCCCATCTGCGCTCACTTACTCGCTCAACAAACGGTCAATGAATGAGTCCCTGTGCCGGACTCTGAGAGAGTAGGAGCGCGAGCCACCGTCACAGCACCGGAGAAGCGCCCAGGTCGGTGAGAAGGTGCCTCTAGCTCGCTCAGCGCCAGTAGGAAGGAAAGATGGGCCAAGCTTCTTAAGTCCTTTCCAGGATCCCGAAGCAGGGATGGAAGAAACAGATTTGCATTGGAGCTACATGGTCTCGCCTTTCTGTGCCAAACCTGGGAGGGTAATTGGATCGAGGGGCCGCTGGGTATATTGCGCCCCGTGGACTGTGCCAGATGTCCGACGCACATGGCTGGACCTGCACCCCTTGCGCGGAAGCCGGGACGTCGATAGCACATCCCTAGTCTGGCGTTGGGCCATAGGAAGACACACCGAGAAGGAGCCCAACGGAAAGCCCTGAGGCAGCTGGCCTCTGTGCCATGTGCTGTGGCCACTCTGCGGGTGTCCGCGGAAACTCAGAATTGTGGGTGTTTCCAGGGTTCTAAAGGGCTCAACATCACCGGATTCTGCTGGCGACTTCTTAAAAGAAAAATTCCTTCTTCAAGAACTCATTTAATCTTCCCATTTATACGGGAGAATAGGCACACCTATTCTTTAAGTCTGGATTATTTGCATGGGAGGTTGAGACATTCAGGTTTGGGATATTTGTACCCAAAACAGGAAGGCCAAGAAATAGCTTCTTGGCAACAGCTGAGCGAGGCTAGGGCTTAATTGGGCAGCTAGCTGCTCCCTGGTGGAAAGGCATGGAATAGAGGGTGGGGGACACCCAGAAAAGACCCCCTCCCGAAAAGGACCACCCCAGCATATACCCAGAGGGGCCGGGAGCTGGGGCAGTCTGGAGCCCAGACCGCGGACAAACTTCCCTCCTGAGCATAGGATAGCCCCAGGAACTGGGCTGAGAATTATCTCCATGACAGATGGCTGCAGGGACCTTCTGGGTCACTGCCTCCACTTCCTTTATTACAGAGGAGAAACTGAGGTGAAAGACTCACCTGAGAAGCCAGCAGTAGGCTCTGGACTGTTGGAGCAATGCTTTTACTTACAGTGTAAGTCTTACACACACACAGCCCCTTCCTCCACCCACCGGTCTCTTCAGCCTCTGGGCCTGTGGCCACCAAGTAGATAGGACTCAGCCCTTTTGTCCTTTCATACTGATCCCTAGGTTGGCTTAAGTACTGGATCTTTCCAACACAGAGGTTCCCATCAGTATTTAAATCAAAGCCAAGGATCTCCAGTGTCTTCATTCCCAACAGCCTCAATCTGCCACCCATCTTCAGACAGGCAGGGGCAGCTGGATGTGATGGGTGAGCCAGGAAAGTTGCCGCGGAGGCCCCAGCTGACCCCTTAGTGAACCAGAAGCAAGCTGGTGCCCTCCTGACCTTATGCTTAAGGTGGATCCCTGGGCCAGGAGGAAAGGGGAAGCAGCAGGCGTGAGCAGGGCCAGTAGCTCAAGAGCACAAGTGGGCTTTTCCGAGCCTGCCTGACACCACCATAACCCCATCCAGGGCAATTCATCACCCACTGCTGACCACAGGACTGGCGCCAGGCCATGGGCTCAGCAGGCGACAGAGTCAGCAAAAGTGAAGGGACTGGGGCCTGCCCTCAGGGTGCTCTGAGACTGCAGAGACAACAGCCAGGCCTGAGAAACTCCACCAGGGTGAAGTGACAGGAGGACCAAGTTTGGGGGTTGATTCTGGTTTTGGGAAAGAAGAGAAATATGGGGGAGGGGGCTCTCAGGAGCCCTGACAGTGTAGCTGGTTCCTATATACGGGTTTACCTGCTGTGGATTGTGTACTAACCATAAGCCCCTGTAGGGGGCAGCTTCAATTTTACTCTAATTTCCCATTGATACATTATTTTTCGTAATTTCTCAGAATACCTGAGCTCCTTTGTTCATAGCTCCAGATTCCCTGAGGAAGGAGCAGACATGGTTCTTGCCTCCTGGACGAAACATGCTCACAAAGGAAGTAGACAATAAATAAACTAGCAAACAAAAGAGCAAGAATATGTCCCGTGGTGATAAGTGCTGGGGAGAAAATCAAACAGGCCTGTGATGCTGAGTACCTGGGGGCCACACTCAGCAGGGTGGGCCAGGCAGTCTTCTCTAAGGAGAGGACATTGGACTGTGTAAGGAACCAGTCAGCGGTGACCTGGAAAAGGGTGCCTCCTGCAAAGGGAAGAGCAGGTATAAGAACCCTAGGACAGGACAGAATGTTCAAGAGATGGGAAGAAGGTGTTGGGAGAAAAGGGGATGAGGGGTGCTTCAGCTGCCCTAGCTCACCAGACTCCCCTACCCCAGCAAAAAAAAAAAAAAAAAAGGAAAAACAAGGACTGGGACTCCCCACACTCACCCCAGCCCTGAGCCACAGGGAGACTATTTTGTAAACAATTTGGAAACATTTTGTTTTCCAGTGAACCAACTCCCCCTCCCTGCCCACTGCCACCCAAGAAAGCTTGGCAAGGTTTCTAGATCAAAGTTCTTATTGGGCTGGTAATTTATTGACCCCTTCCCCCCTTCACTCCACTCCTCCATTTAATTCTTTTTTTGCTGGACGCCCCCGCCCGACGCCCCTACAGGTCTCGATGGACAGATAGATTAAATCATCCCCCAACCCTCGTGGCAATTTCCAGCCCGCAGGCCCTGCTCATCTTGTGACCCAGCGCGCGCTGAACTTGGCGCGGTGGCCCTGCAGAGTTCACTCGGATGTCACGGTCCGGCCTGCAGGGGTCACAGGCGGGTCAGGCTGGAGGACTGGGACTGGGCCCCAGGTCACGCCCCCGCTCGCCAGCTTTACTCACCGGCCAGAGGCACTGTCCAGAAAGGGGCGGGGCGGAGATTTCTGAGAATACCTCTAGCGCGTCTGGCTCCAGTTTCTACCAGAGCCCCGAAGTTGGCTGGCACCAGTTATAGTCTCCAGATCGTCAGAAGCAATGACAAGGAGGAGACACCCTTTTCTAGAACCTCTGAAACACCAAGTAGAGTTATGGGGAACCGCTAACTCTTTGAAACACGCCCTGTGGCGACCCGGACTTGGAGCGTTGCGGGGTCTGCCGGTCCCTAAGACCGCAGACATTTTCCGATCCCGCGGGCTTTGGGGACCACCGCTGCAGGGCCACGTATTTAACAGCTCTCAAGAATAAAGAGCTTCCCATCTCCATGGGACTCTTTCCAAAGCGTGAGGTGGGCTCGTGCGAGTGTCAGTGTTCAATTTTAAACAAACGTACGTTATCCTGTTTCGTTTTCGGCCCCGCTGGTGTCTTCTGCGCCCAAACCAAGGGAGCACGTGGCCCTGCCTGCTTGGAGGCGGTGTGGCTTGGCCACGTGGGAAGCGGGGATCGCACGTGCGCTTCCCGCAGTGTCCGAGCTCTAGGTATTGGCAGCACAGGCTACAGTAGCTGTATTTAGGCAAAGGCCAGCAGACTCTCTTCCCAGTTGGGATTCCAACACTCCCATTGGCGGCCCGCAGAGGCTGGGTTTAGGACCGAGTACCCATCTCACCCGGGTGGCTTTATGCTGGGTGGGAGCCGGGAGAGCTAAAGAAGGCTTCAGAGACCGGAATCCAGGTCACGCTGGTAATGCATGTAGCTTAGCGTGCCTGGAGCTAAGAACAGTGTTTACAACCAGAAGCTCCTTTTGGAAATTCACAACTATCCCGAGGTGCAGACTGGCCGGGAATGATCATCCCAATTTAAGGAGGAGGAACAGGGGCAAGGATATGTAGTGACTTGCCCAAAGTGATGCAACTAGAGATGGAGCCGGGTCTCCGAGTCTAGACCCCCGGGCTTTATTTCCTCTATCTCCGTCTCTTGATCCTGCCGGGGCTACGGTCCCCATTCCCCTATGCTTAGCTGGAGCTGCAAGCCCCAGAGTCATCGGAATCGGGCCGGCTGTGACCAGATCTCAGAGCGATGGTTGCCGAGCCATCGAGGAATTTCCCCTGCGGTCCCCCACTGGGGCTGACTTGTGCAGGTTTGCACCTGGAGTCCTGAGGGACCTGGAGGCTCTCCTGTACTCTTAAGTTGGACGGTCCATGACTTCATGAATGCCGGCCCTCTTGAGGAGGTTGGGTCATGCCTGATTTCCCGCGGCTCTCGCATGAGTCCTGGCCCCGGGATCTTCTGCGGGATCTTCGAAAAAGTAGGGAAGTCTTCCGTTTTGCTCTGTGTTCTGGACCTCAGTTTCCCCACCTGTGGGATGAAGCAGCTTGACGATCCCTGAACGCACTTCCCTTTGCTTCCCCAGCAGGTGGAAGGGAGCCCACGTAGCGCCTGTAAATGGAAAATCAATGAAGGCAGCTCTGTTCTGGAACCGACCGTCGGACTCGACGGGAAGGATTCCACAGAGACCGCCAGGAAGCCCAGGGCTTGGAGTTCCGGCCACCCGGAGCCCGGGTCGGCCCCTGTCGCCACCTCGGAGCTCCACACACCTTGCATGGGGGAGGCAGGCTGCTCCTAGTTACGCGCTCCAGGAGGCGCGCTCCGAGGGAAGCCGCCACCGCGCCGCCTCTGCCTCGGCGTGGAACAAACGGTTAAAGATTTTGGGCAGCGCCTCGCGGGGGGAGGAGCCAGGGACCCAATCCGCAATTAAAGATGAACTTTGGGTGAACTAATTTGTCTGACCAAGGTAACGTGGGCAGCAACCTGGGCCGCCTATAAAGCGGGCGTGTGGTTGGGTTCAGAGTGCTGGTGGCGGCGGCAGGTGGCGCGGGAGGTCGCAGGGCGCTATGGGGCTCCTGGCGCTGCTGGCCAGTGCGCTCTGCACCTTCGTGCTACCGTTGCTGCTCTTCCTGGCCGCGATCAAGCTCTGGGACCTGTACTGCGTGAGCAGTCGCGACCGCAGCTGCTCCCTCCCTTTGCCCCCCGGAACTATGGGCTTTCCCTTCTTTGGGGAAACATTGCAGATGGTGCTACAGGTAAGGGATTTTGGGGCGGGACAGGACGATTCTCTGGACTCGGTTCCGGGCTTCTACTGAAGCCGGAGCAAGCGCCCCCGGGAGGACGTGTCTACCGCTAGGATCTGGGCAAGCCCGAGGCGCGGAGCTCCCCGGCGCCCCCTCACGCCCGCCTTTCTCCTCCGCTTTCCTTTTGCAGCGAAGGAAGTTCCTGCAGATGAAACGCAGGAAATACGGTTTCATCTACAAGACGCATCTGTTTGGGAGGCCCACCGTGCGGGTAATGGGCGCCGACAATGTGCGGCGCATCTTGCTCGGGGAGCACCGACTGGTGTCGGTCCACTGGCCCGCGTCGGTGCGTACCATCCTGGGCTCCGGCTGCCTTTCCAACCTACACGACTCCTCGCACAAGCAGCGCAAGAAGGTGAGGGTGGAAGTGAAGGCGCCTGGACCAGAAGGGGGACCCCATTCGCCAGAGGGATTCACGCAGAGAGATGCTGGGCGAGCGCTAGCTGCAGGAGGCGTCGGCTAGGACCCTCTCCAGCTCAGCTTAGCTTTCTCAGCCGGGAAGTGCCTTGGGTCTGGCGGAGTTGGGGTGTCTGGAAGGGAACGCTGGAAGAGAGGAGTGGGGCCGGGTTTTAACATTCTCTCCTCCTCGGGGCTCAGGTAATTATGCGGGCCTTCAGCCGCGAGGCGCTCCAGTGCTACGTGCCGGTGATCACCGAAGAAGTTGACAACTGCTTGGAACAGTGGCTGAGTTGCGGCGAGCGGGGCCTCCTGGTCTACCCACAGGTGAAGCGCCTAATGTTCCGCATCGCCATGCGCATCCTGTTGGGCTGCGAGCCCCGTCTGGCGAGCGGCGGGGACGCCGAGCAGCAGCTGGTGGAGGCCTTCGAGGAAATGACTCGCAATCTCTTTTCGTTGCCCATCGACGTGCCCTTCAGTGGGCTGTACCGGGTAATGGCGGCATGCAAGGTGCAGAGCTAGGGGATCCGGGGCGCGGGTGCCCGGCCTCTGCTCACAGCGGTGCGCTTTCTGCGCTCAGGGCATGAAGGCGCGGAACCTCATACACGCGCGCATCGAGGAGAACATTCGCGCCAAGATCTGCGGGCTGCGGACGGCGGAGGCGGACGGAGGCTACAAAGATGCGCTGCAGCTGTTGATCGAGAACTCACGGGAGAGGGGAGAGAGGCTGGACATGCAGGTGAGTGGCAGCTTCAGGAGCGTCACTGCGGAGTTTGGGCATCTGGTTTTCCAAGTGCGGTTCCCCAAATCCCCAAAGCGCCAGCCTGGGGCCCAGCTTCCCGGAATGGGCATCCTGCACGGACCCCCTCGATGGGACACGGAAAATTGAGACAACAGGTAGGAGAGCTGTGGAAGAGTCTGCAGCCGAACAGGGAGCGAACCCTAGCCCTTCCAGGTCTTAAATGGAAACTTAGAATTTGCCAACTGTAAATAAAGAATCTTGGGTGAACTTAATACAGTTAAGGCTTTAAGTCAAAAGTTCCGAGTAAAGTGGGATTTTACTGGCCTTCCTGTTTCAGCTGAACTAATGGGACGGTGCATTTTGTTTTTAAAACGTTGCTTTCCTTGACATTCTGTCAGCAAAACAGCCCTTTTCCTCTTCCCTCCAGAACCCTCAGTTGGGTTCTGAGTAGTTAATCCCTCTGCAAAATTGCAGGCAGACTTGTAAAAACGTTCATCTTATTCCACTTTCAGGCACTGAAGCAATCTTCAACTGAACTCCTCTTTGGAGGACATGAAACCACCGCCAGTGCAGCCACGTCTCTGATCACTTACCTGGGGCTCTACCCTCATGTTCTCCAGAAAGTGCGAGAGGAGCTGAAGAGTAAGGTAGGGGACTCTGGGGGTTCCCTGCTACTTTAAGAAAGCCCGCGGCTCCCTAGCTAACTTCCCAATAAGTAAGTGTGCTTCCTAAGCTGAGTATTTTAAAGTGCGGGCCCAGGAGTGGGTGAGCCAGTGGGGAAAGCGCTTGGTGAATAAAGAGGGAGGAATCTTGAGCTGTGATCCCACTCAGACAGGGTTTGACCTTGTATTCCTATCTCCACCTCTTGCAGAACCTTGGAGATTTTCAGATAGGTTCCACTTCCTTGGATTTGTGTGTTCAAGGGCATGAATTAGGGACTTGTAGGTGGGTGGCAGCAGGTGGTGGGGGTGGGGAAGAAGCTAAGTGGTTCTACCTTGTGAACAGCTTTCTCTTGGAATTGCAAATAGATAGTGGATTTGGGCCAAGGGGTGGAGACAAATGGTCACTAGCTGCTGAGTGTTTCCCCCCTCACTCTTTTTCATCATGGGGCCCTTTGGGTATAGTCTCCACTTAAGCTCTGTTTACATCTGCTGGGCTGATTTTATTGGAGCACAAAATAACCGTTCACCTCTGTGACTTTTGATAGGGTTTACTTTGCAAGAGCAATCAAGACAACAAGTTGGACATAGAAACTTTGGAACAGCTTAAATACATTGGGTGTGTTATTAAAGAGACACTTCGACTGAATCCTCCAGTTCCAGGAGGGTTTCGGGTTGCCCTTAAGACTTTTGAATTAAATGTAAGTGAAAAGTTCTCCCCTCCCCTTTTGTTGTGGTTTTAAATTTCCCCTTGCTTCCCGGGCATTGGTTTAAATTCCTTAATGCTTTTGGTAACAGTGTCCTGTCCCATGTGGACACATTTTAGCAACCTGAATATCTGTCTGTCTGTCTCTCCCTCCCACCCTTTCTTTTAATTCATAACTCCTTCAAAGATATCGGTGATAGCTTTTTGTTGTTGAAAATTAGATTCCAGTTTGTCAGCCTTCAGGACTTCATAATCTTTTTCAGGGATACCAGATTCCCAAGGGCTGGAATGTTATCTACAGTATCTGTGATACTCACGACGTAGCAGACATTTTCACCAACAAGGAGGAATTTAACCCTGACCGATTTATGCTGCCGCACCCTGAGGATGCATCCAGGTTTAGCTTCATTCCATTTGGAGGAGGCCTTAGGAGCTGTGTAGGGAAAGAGTTTGCAAAAATTCTTCTCAAAATATTTACAGTGGAGCTGGCCAGGCATTGTGACTGGAGGCTTCTAAATGGACCTCCTACAATGAAAACCAGTCCCACGGTGTACCCTGTGGACGATCTCCCGGCGAGGTTCACCCGTTTCCAGGGGGAAATCTGATGGACGTGAATGCCTAGACCTTGGACTTATTGTAAATGTACATATGAGTTTTTACATAGTGTCATGTTGATTTTATTATATTTAATTTCTAAATGTATATTATAATATTTATGTGTCTCTACTACAGTACCACAGTCTTTAAATATTAAAATAATGAATTTTGTATAGTTTCCAAATAAAGTAAAATTTGAAGGTGCTTGTCTTGTATTTAAGATTCTTGTGTGGTTTAATAATTGTACATATTATATTGAACCAGATTTCTAAATGTCTGCCTGCATGGCTTTATCTGTCATCTCTCCATATCTACTATCTGTGAGGAACCAACTTTAGCTGTTTTTTTTTTTCTCTTAACGGTTATTACAGAATATATATGTGGATGTGTGTTAGTGCAAAGGTAACTCAGGAAATTCAATTACCACAGGAAAAATTACTATTTGGAAAATCTATCAAAGTTAATTTTACATTTGGGGGAAGTTTATTTTAGGGAAAGATGACTTTGAAAAGATGGCACTTTTAATGTAACACCTTCAGTCATAAACTTATTATGTTTAATAAACATATCCATGTTGTCACACATCACCACAACTGTCTCCTGAAGTCAAGCTTTAGGCGAGACAAAGCCAGTCACTCCAGTCATGGACAATTATTGACTAAAGTGAGACCACAACTCACTGGTGTGTTTCCTTTACTCAGAAGTTGCCATGAAAAGAGCATTGGGAAAGGCCAGTAGTCTCTGGTTTAGATAAGCGAGTCCAGGTTTTCTTTATTGAAAATAAAGCAGGAGTAGATTTAGCAAACTGACAGATAAAGTTTTTATCTGTGCTGGGCAATAGGGTGTGAGCCTGACATGACTGATAAAATGGCCCAGTCATGACCCTGTGAACCTTGGCTAACCTCCGTGAAAGCACAGTTTTGTCACATTTCTGACCCTGGCATAGCCATGTTCGGAGCTGAAGGCCAGACTCAATCCAGAGAGGTTAGCCCGCTGGCTTACTTGTGTAAGCACATTTTCAGTATCGGAATGGCACAATCTGCCACTGAACCTCTGATGGCTTGTAGGTTTTGGACTTTAAAATTTTCATTACAATTTTAGAGTTTGGCAACGCTGCAGAAACTGGGTGGTCTAAATAGGTGTTTGAAAAGGGTCTGTCTACAATTAGGGTTACATGTTCTACCTGACTTTAGTTTTTTGGGTAGAACTTAGATTGTCCTTATTGTTGGAATCCTTTGATTTTTAAGGAGTGTTTACATAACAACTTATAATGCCCATGATAACCTTATAATACCTATTTTAAAAATGAGAAATTATAGGCTTACTTAGTTGCAGCCCAAGCTTTTGTGTACTGTGGTGTGCAGAGATGGCCCCTCCCCCGGTAACAGTCCCCTGGATCATTCCAGCCAGGAGCACACTAGCCTGAGGACCTTATTTCAGATCATTTATACAAGGCCAGTTTTTAAGGGTTTCAGTACTTTTTATTGTGCCAGAGAACAACCTTTCAAAACGTTTTTGGTGACTCCGTGACTGGGTGTCTCTACGAGCATAGAGTAGAAAGAAATTTGAACCATTTTAGCATATAATTCAATTTTTAAAATCTAACTTTATTTTTTATCTGGAGAGCTTTGAGGAAAGTGCTCTGGCTTGCATTTCCCAGGGCTATATTAAGCCCAATTACAGCCATTGATTACAGAGCAGTGCAGAATTTACCTCGAAAATACGTTAAAAATATAATCTTTGTTAATGTGCTCAGTGCTGAGTAAAGGTGGTTTGGCGTGCGAGGCAGAATCAAGGCTTGTGGGCTGTCCTAGTGTATATTAAATGGGCTTGGGGCAAGCATGTTGTATGGCACACGCAACGCCCCCCAATGGGGAAGTGTTTCGGGAGGAGGTCACGATACTAGAGTTAGACTTGGCCAAGGTTCCGGAAGGAGGGGAGACCACTGCTAAATGCCTCTTTGGAGCTCCCAGGGACTTGGCACAATGATGGAAGGGCATGTGACAGGGACAGGTGGATCTGCCAAGCTGCTGAAGCTGGTGTCCTCTGCCTCCCCTTCCACACATGCCCTTCGCCCTGGCCACCTCTCATGCCCTCTTCTCTTCAATCAGGGATTTGGCGACACCAAGGACAGACCATTGCCTGTACTGGCATGTGAAAGCCGTCACCTGGGTCTATAATTTGCATTCAGAGGGACTGTGGCCTTCACCTAGCTTCGCCCTTGGAGGCCCAGAGGGACTGTGATGTGCCTTGGGCCCCCCCCGGGAGTGACAGAACTAGGAAAGTGCTCCTACTGTGCGCTCTCCTCCACACGCACTTACTTTTTTTTTCAACAGCTAATAACACCTGCCTAATTTATCTCCAATTTTCTATTGCCCAACCACTAGACCCCCGGGGTCTTCACTTCCTAACTCCTCATCATATCCCTGCCACCATTTTCCTGCCTTGTGACAGTCAAGATCAATTCTCTTGAGGCCACCAGAGGCAACTGGTAAAATAGGAGCAGTGACAGGGAGTGGCTACTCCCCCAAACCTCTATCACCTGAGAGGTTTCAGGGTGCTTTTCGTACCTTGCCACCCCCCAGAGGTCCACAAGGGGGCGGGCTTCTCCCTTCTATGCCAAGCTCAGGGCCCAGTGATTCTCCCCACCAGTGTCCATGAAATCCAGCATCCAAGACTCTGGCCCAGGGCCTTTTACCCCAAGCAGTGAGAGGCTACAGACCACTCAGGGCTGAGCAAATACTCAGCCTCAGGCCTGGTCAGGGCTGCCTGGCTGGAGGGGTCACCTCAGGCTGGGTTGATCTGGATCATCATTCAGTTCCTGAAGTGGCCACCATCCCACTGCGGTCTCCGAGGTCAGCTGGCTCACGTTTCCGGTGTTGCCCACATTCTGTCCATGCTCTGAACTGTGCTGCTCTCATTATCCCTGGAAAAGGACTCTCGGTTTTGGGGGAGTGAGGAGCATGAGTTTTAAAGGATATGAGCATACTAGTCATTGTTCAGTCAGGGGACTTGGCCAGGTGGAGGAGCCACCCTTCCAGAGCACTGTGGGAGGAATTAGGGGTGTTGAGATGTTCTGGTGGCCCCGCCTTTAAATGAAGGGCTGTTGCAGAAAATACGGGTTTGGGCCTGTTCTGAAGGACACAGCATGCACTTAGGAGGGTAGGTGAGAAGAAGGAGATGTTAATACCATGTAAGGAAAACACTTTGAGACAACTAGAGCCCTTTGGTGATGACTCGGGCCACCTTGTGAGAGAGCAAGCTCCCTGTCAATGGAGGCATCCAAACAGAAGCTGGATAACTAAGCCACCGTGGAGATTCCGACATGGAGGGAGAGGTTGGGTTAGGGATGATTAGAGTGATTCTCTGAGAGTTGATTCTGTATGAATTCAGTTCAGACTCTACTTTGAAATGCTTAATTAACTCCAATCTAGGGAGACAGGCCACCCCACCTCCTCTTCCTGCAGTGTCCAGCATTCCTTGGTGATCATTCTGCCCAACCTCCTGACAGATGTGGTGGGTGAGAGCCCAGGGGGCCTGATGCATGACCTCAGATTGACACTGCGTCCCCTGTGTTGATTACTAGGGAATGTCTCTCCTGGCCAGTGCCCTGGGGCTTCCTGCACCCCTCTAGACCTCCCCGAGTTGTGCCTCCTGACCATCCACTTGACCTGGCTTCTGTGTAATACCCAGCAACATTTCCAGTTCTCCCAGGTCTCCGAGATGCCATCGGCTGACATTGGACTTAACCCAACTTTCTCTGCCTCCTGAAAAGACTAAAAGGCAAGAACTATCTCATCATTGGAATCTATTTCTTTTTTGGTTAATCCTCACCTGAGGATATTTTTCCAATGATTTTTTGTTTATTGATTTTAGAGAGAGAGGAAGGGAGAGGGAGAGAGAGATAGAAACATCAATGAGAGAGAACACTGATTGGTCCCCTCCTGCATGCCCCCCACTGGGGATCAGGCTCACAACCTGCTCATGTGCCCTGGCCAGGAATCAAACTGGCGATCTCTTGCTGCATGGGTTGACTCTCAACCACTGAGCCACACCGGCTGGGCTCCACTGATTTTTTTAGATAGAGTGGAAGGCGAGGGAGGAAGGAACGGAGGGAGGGAAGGAGGGAGAGAGGGAGAAACATCGATGCAAGAGAGACATATCAATTGGTTGCCTCTCACAGGACCCCGACTTGGGCTGGGAATTGAACCTGCAACCAGGTACGTGCCCTTGACCAGGAATTGAACTTGCGACCCTGAGCCAAACTGGCCAGGGCTCATCGTTGGAATCTTGTAACAGCTTTCTCATGCACCTCCCTGCCTTCTCCCAGAACAGACTCACACATCGTAGTTGCTCTTTGAGAGGGAAAGAGTCCTGGGGCCGAGCCACACCATTCACCTTACGTGTCTCCAGCTTTGTGGTGCCATATTTTTCTTTGAAAAGTGAAACTTTCGTCCTTGGAAAATCTCAGTGGCCGCAAGCTTACACGGCTGTGGTTTAACAGCATGTCACATTCCTGAAACCAACGCTCCATGGGTCTTTAGCCAAACAAGCTTTCCTTCGTTTGAAGTAGAGTCAACTTGAGTTAGAACCCTGGGACAGGGTGGAAACTTAGCCCTGGATTACGCGGTGGGTTTTCTGGGTGAGAGTTATCGTGTTGCAATATTCATAACCACCTACCCACAACACAGAAGCTGACCTACACTGCACGATTTTTCACGCTGCCCACCCCTCCCTGCTCCAGCCAGAGGTTAGAACCTACTCTCATTTCTGACCAAAGAGGCTTCAAGATTTTTACCTGAAGTCACTAATGAGTTCACTTAACTCAAATGCATTGCAAAAGAGGACAAAGTGTTTTGCTTATAATAGATATTTGACAAAACACATGAATGGGTTCATTAAGTACAGTCCAGTGTAACAGTGATTTATTTAATGATAAAGGAGGGGATTTGGTATTCTGAAATGGAAAGTTCATTTAATGTCAGTTCATCACAGACATTTAGAGCTGGAAGGGAGATCGTGGACAGATCACCCAAGCCCTTCAGTTCGCACCTGAGAATTCTGAGGCTCAGAGAATCCAGACTGGCTGTCTGCTATCCAATACTTTGTAGGATTAGCCCTTAATTAAAAAACAAAACAAAAACAACCCACTGTGCCCTGGCTGGTTCGGCTCAGCAGTTAGAGCGTTGGCCTTCGGTCCAGAGAGACCCAGGTTCGGTTCCTCGGTTGCAGTTTGTCCCTGGCCCTGGTTGGGTCGTGCAGGTGGCAGCCACTCGATGTGTCCCTTTCACGTCCGATGTGTCCCTTTCATGTCAATGTTTCTCTCTCTCTCTCTTCCTCTCTCTCCCTCCCACTCTATCTGAACAAAAAATTAAATGTCCTCGGGTGAGGATAAAACACACAAACAAACAAAAACCCCCACTGTATTGTTGATTTATATAGGTGTCAGGAAAATAAGGGCAGGTGAGCAGATTATTTGAGACCAAATTTCTCCCAGGCTCTGGCTCCCCACTGTGCCCCTGACAGCGCCTGTGCCTCAGAGGGGCCGTGAGGACCTGGAGCTGTGTGGCCACCAAGGG